GAGGTAAGCCTTCCAATTGATATTTTATAGTGTGTCTTTCTATGTTGTGATGTTATACTATTGTTTCAGAAAAGGGAGAAGGTTTGGTACCATTAAAACGTTTAATCTAGTTGCAAATGTTTGCACCTGTCCTAAGTCAGGAATCTGGTGTACATTAGTTGTCGTCTGTTTATGTAGTTCATACGTGTTTCTCGTTTCTCGTTTTTATATAGATTAGACCATTGGTTTCCCGTTTGAATGGTTTTACACTAGTAATTTTTGGGGTCCTTTATTACTTGCTGTTCGGTGTGAGCCAATGCTCCGTGTTGAAGGCCGTACCTTGACCTATAATGATTTACTTTTATAAATTGTTACTTGGATGGAGAGTTGTCTCATTGGCACTCATACCACATCTTCCTATATCTATATACATATATAATATGGAGAAAAGTTACTATTTTTCTTATTTCAATTGCAGATGTTACATATCAGTAATTTTACAAGTCAAGAAATACATTACATATATAAAAAAAAAAGATATCTCATGTTTTATAATCGTCATCTGTGTGTTTATGGAACGTTTCATACTTTACATGTGATCGCAACTTAGATGCTTATAATGTTTTTTTAGGACCAGTTTATAGAGGGATTGCATTATTCAATATGTGAGACACTCTTTTTCAATATTTTAAACATACAATCTAATATGGTGGCCGCCAATCCCAAGAATTCTATTCTGGCATTTTCCTTCAATCCAAAGAAAAAAATTACTAAGCAGCCCCCAATATCGACTTCAATATATTCATTTGACCCGGGATGCCTGCCTTTTGCGCATGAAAGTCATCAGCCCGCAAAATCGACAAGTCTTCTAAAACGAAGCTAGGGTACTGTCTATGGACCTTTAAAAGGATTTTGTATCTATTAGACAGCAACCCAACAACATTGGAAATTTTCTTATAGCCTAAATCTAGGCTAGGGTCCGGCCTATGCTTTCGCTCTAGGACTTCACACATATAATTATGCCCGCGTCTCTAGAATATTTTAGAGTTTTATTAGGTATATTGTTTACCGGTTTATGCAATCATGGTTTTATCCTGTGTGTGCAACATATAAAATATCTGATGGATCTAATACTCAAGCATCCTCTGTCATATATAGCTTCTTTGACCTTATTCAAAAGGTTGATAAAGAGTGACTAGTCTGCTCTTACGACTAACAAGAGAATAACCTTTAACCTTGACTGCAGTCCGACTTTCATAGTACCTGACTATATATCTATACCAATATGTGAAAAGTCCGGTTCACAAAAAGGTTATCGATTGAAAGGGTGAAGTCACAAATTCGAGTGTTCTGGAAAGTTCAGTAAATTATTTATCTCATCGGTTCATACCACAAACATCAAGCTGCATCTCTCAGTATATTTAATTCCAACTCAAAAATGAAGAAAAATCTCAATCCGTCTTTATAATTAGTTTCAGAGTAAAAGCTACTACTGATCTACATGTCAACTAGTCTTGCGCCAACGGTCAAACCATGAATTCAATAAAGATGTAACAAAAAGACAAACTATGATGTACCTAGCCCGCCCTGATGATGTACCTAGCCCGCCCTGATCATAGTTGTCGTTTCATGCACGGAACAACAAAAGTAATGCCAGACTTTTCGAAAACTCGTTCTCAGTTACAAGACCATGGATCCGCCCTGAACAAAGCGGTATGTCAAATGAAAATAGAGAAATGTTCAAACATCAACTTACACTCACAAATACATCTTTTATCCACGTACGATCAAGCTTTACACAAACAAAAGATATATTTTTACATATAGACCGCGATGACGCAAAAGCATTATAAGGACCACAGGCGGTTCTAAGTATGGGCAGGAGGTCCCCAGACCAGGGGTGGATTCAGGCGGGGCCATGGCGGCGTGTGCCCCCCTTCCCCACCTAAAATGTGCAAAGCATGGTTGTCCTCAGCTTTATAAAGAATGTTTCGATAATTTTACCTCCAAAATTTTTTTGTCTCGCTCCTGGATCCGCCCCTGCAGACCGGGCCACCGTTATATGGAGCTTCAAATATGACAACAGCCTCGGAACCTATTTATAACCGGGTAGTCTCAAAAGATAAAAATCTCTATTTAATCTATACCTGTAAGCTGAGACTACCATAGTAGTACCATAGTAGTCTCAGCTGTAAGTTATAATGTTTCGACATGTTCAAATGAGCAACATATTGAATGCATTCTTAGACTAGCTACGTACCTAATCCAGTCAGGGGAATTACTTAAATGAATGATTTCTAAATCACTGATTCAAGTAACATCTTGTCCACAAATGTTGGAAGTAATTAGGAGTTGTCTTTCTTTAATAATCACCTATTTAAGTAGAACAAATAAATCACTAGACTAAGTGATTTAATTTCATTGTAGCTTTAAATATGCAATACTGATGATCCAGGAACGAATTATGTTGCTAAAGTTATCAGAACCAACATCTCTGTTGATAGGATGACTGCAATTTATATTACTTACAAATGCAAACAATAACTCTGGCTCATGACACAAAATGCCGTTATAAATCCATAATTCTGCAAACGTTTGCCCTTATTTCCAAAAGACAAGTGACATATATTAATTAATTATAAACAGTAAAATTCCGCCGCACTCGTAGCCATGGTAGCCTATAATCACCTAGGTTTCTATATGACTTTATCGAAAACAGGAAATAGTTTCTTAACGCCGCTTGACAAATACGTACTATATTTTATATTATTTAGTACCCTAAACATATGAAAGAAAGAAAAGCAAGTAATTTGATCATATCTCAACAAAACATGTATTATTATTGTTTCCTGCAAGTGACCATTCATTGGATTTTAGTACGTAAACAAGCATTTCCTACGAAGGAATTTTGAACAGATATATCATGTTATGGAGGGGTATTTACGAAAAATACCAGTCAAGGGACGGTGAAATTTCCCAAGCCGCTAGGCGAGGGAAATTTGGTCACAAGACTGGTATTTTTCGCAAATACCCCTCCATAACATGATATATCTGTTTAATTACACCGAATAGATTTTGATTGAAACTGTCTGTACATGTGAGGGGAAATCGTATAGTACCGCGGGAATTATACATGTACTTATATGCGTTAGTGCTGTCTTTTTGTAACGTCATGGTATCTTTATGTGTAAACGTCATTGTTATTCCATCATTAAATCGTTCATTTGTATAGACCTTTTTTCCCCTCTTTATATGTATATTTCTGACAGTTTTCGGTTTAACTCAATCAATAGTGCTACACCATGTTGTCAGGATAAAGTGAGAGAGGTTCCGAATAATTTTGGCGGGAACAGGCTCGCAAGGGTAAAAAAGGAATATCCAAAATGGCAAATACCACGGCAGAGAGGGGAATTTGAGGCAAATTCACCGGCAGTGGTGAAAAAACAGGCAAATTCGTTTGAAATGAGGAAAAAATGTTAGAATATGCGAAAAATACACTGGCTAACAACCAATCAAAATCCGGCATTCTTATATAAGGTGTAATCAAAAGGGAAATCTACCCCAACGATGTGTCAAATAACGTTCACAAACATGTTTTATAAACCCCTTACCCCATGAAAGAGTGAAATTAATGTAGACCCGTAAAAATCGTGATCGAAGAGCCTGCTCAATAACAATTGAATTTCACCGCTTTTATATTTTGTCAATTTGATAGATATTAAGTTATGTGTCATAATAACTGCTAAAAACGGTACAAGCTGTGTAAATATTCCATTTGATCCCAACACTTCAAGTTTGCCAAAGCTGTTTAAAAGTGTATAAAAATCAGCGAAGACTATTATTTTTTAGGTTTACAGATATTGATCCCAAATAAATTCTGAAATAATAAATGTGTTTGTTTCTTTATCACAATTGGTAATACCAGAAGTCCGTTACTATAGACCCTAGCAATGGACTTCTGATAATACCCATCTATAACAGTATGTTTTATTTTTCGTTCAAATTCTGTAATCTGATTCGTGACTTCAGGACGGATGGCACTCATCTTGGCTTATATACAAAATAAAAATGTCACAGTACCTGAAACCCAAATAGAAGTATCCGAAAACAAAAATAAAAAAGAAATACCATCAAATTAATCATGTTAATGCTTATGAAATAAATATAAAATTCCCTGTTTTTTCGTTAAAAAGTTACAGCAAACACAAAGACTGACTTGATTTTGATACTGTGAAGCACTCGATCGGAATTCTTATTTTTTTTTTAGAAAGGTTAAACTTTTAAATAGATAGATTTTGAAATCTTTCATGGCAAAATAGAAAATGAACCGTAAGAATCTGTCAAATTAAGTTGAGAGGATGATTTCCTTTATTCAGTCTAAAATTTTGAAAACATTTTGCAGGCACTTGAAAGAAAATATCACAAAAACATTTTCATGACATTATTTGATGTTCATGATGTTTTTCAAACGCTTAGAAAATATTTCGAGAAAATTTTTGTGAAAAGCCGATTATCATGATTATCAAAATGTTGTATACGCCATTGTTTTTCACATTGTTGTGATATTTCTTGACAATATTTTAATTATATCATGCCAATATTTTAGGAAATATATTTGAAAATGTTTTTGCGATATTTTTTCCGTCGTACACTTTTATATTTTTTTACATTTTTTTGTGATACTGATTTTCATGACATTTGACATAACATTTTTCATGACATTTGACATTACATTTTACAAATATTTTTGTATTTGCTGGGTACTCATGGTACTTGAGAAATATATCACTTGTAACTGAAACGATTATTTCAATCTGAATTACCTTTGAATTTCCAGTAAATTACATGTTTTAACTTTAACTTATTTTAAATATGGTTTACTTTTATAAATTGTGACTTGGATGGAGAGTTGTCTCATTGGCACTCATACCACATCTTCTTATATCTATATATTGTATGTTGTTATTACTTTTGATACTGTGATGTGGATACGAAATGTTAAACTTGCGTTCCATATGTATATAATTGTACGTGATTATCGCCCTTAGACATGTTTTCCGTACTGTGTCACTGATTGTCACTGTTATTCCGTATTTGTTAATTATACTTTAAACTGCTTCATATATGTAAAACTATTATTGGAAACTACATACAAAAATGGTGAGTGTATACGTATCTTTTTATCCACAAAGAAAATAAATCATGAGAAAATAGTAAACATATCATTGACGTCTTCGTTCTGGCTTAAAAATTAGACCGGCAATATCTTGTGTCATTATCTTCATGATAAACAGTTGGACTGAATTTAAACCATATTTATGAAAGAAAAAAAATATTGTTCAAATGCATGTATATTCTTTAATTCATCATGTTCATGTAAATGTTTGGTGGAAAATAATTCTATTAGGTTTACAGTAAAATATTTCCTATGGAACGTCTAAATAACATTTGTTATAGTAAGGATTAAATGTCTAGATATAGCAAACTATTATTTATGTTCTTAACTAACAGAAATAAAATTGAGAATGTAAATAGGGAATATGTCAAAGAGACAACAACCCGACCAAAGAGCAGAAAACAGCCGAAGTTCACCAATGGGTCTTCAACGCTACGAGATATTCCCGCAGCTGGCCCCTTCCAAACAAAAAAAATTGAGGAACAAATCATGGTAACAACGGGAAACTATAACCAAAATGTATGATTTCTTTATGATTTGAAAGTGATAAAATTTCACATGCAAATGAGCTAACAAATCACAACAACAAATCACGAACAAATTGCTTCCAATTCATAAGCAAATCACAAACAAATTGTCCAGAAATTGTTTTGAAATCATTTACAAATCAGAAGTCATTGCTTTCCTACTTCAAGCAAATCACAAACAAATTGTTTTCAAATTGTAAAGAAACTATAAACAAATTGTTATCAAATCTTTAACAAATCAGAAGTACATGAAGTAAATCATAGTCCTACCTCAAACAAATCACAAACAAATTGTTTTCAAATTATGAAGAAATTATAAACAAATTGTTATCAAATCATTAACAAATCAGAAGTAAATCATATTCCTACCTCAAGCAAATCACAATCAAATCTTCAATAAATTGGCATCAATTATCAAGTCACAGATTAAATCATTTACATCTAGATCAAAATATTGTTTGCCCCTGAGACCCCTAAATTTTGAAGGTCACTTGTCTTCATTTTACCTTAGCTATTCCTCTGATTGTTATTAATGTTAAGAGATTACTATCTCTGGTTGCCATGAGGGACGAATTGTTCCCTCTGTGAAAGGTTTCTATTACTTTTCCCGAATTTGACTCTAACGAGATTTGACAAACACATAGGCAACCATGTTCACGTTCACTAGACGGATGTCGAATAGGCGATAGGTCCAAATCTGCTAATGTAGATTTGCCCCTACTGCCCTGGACCTGGTCAGTAAACATCATGAAAAATTAAAACATAAAACTTGCTAGTGAATTTTGTCCATGATACACCATGATAGCTAACAAAGTTAAAAAATCATTTTCAAATCATTTCATAAGATATTCTAAGTAAACAAATCATAACGAAATCACATCATTTTAGCTAACAAATTTAACAATTTTTTTTCAAATCATTTCATACGATATTCTAAGTAAACAAATAATAAAGAAATCACGCAAAAACAGAAACAAATTGCTTACAAATCATACAGTTGAAACAAACCACAAAGAAATCAGTTTTGGGGAATTTGGCGAATTCTGATTTGTTTATAATTTGTTTAATGAATCGCAAGCAAATGATACTAACAAATCGCAGAATCACGATTTGAAAGAGATTTGAATACGATTCGAAGGCAATTTGTTCATTTATTTTTCTGTTTGGGCTAACATACCTCAAGCTCATACCTGTACATCAAATACTTCATGTATGCTGAAAATTCATAAAATATTGTGTGCATTTAGTCTGCTTCCAACAGATATTGCTATTTGAAGATATAGTGCAAGTTAATATTATTGCAATACCTAAATTTCACAATTTTCGAAATAAAAAAAATCATTGCAAATATAAACTGGTTTGAAATAGCAGCTAACCTAATGCATTTAATAAAGTAAAAGGTGAAAATATATATGGTAATATACAAATAAGGAGATGTCATATGATTGCCAATGAGACAACGTTCAACTAATATCTATATGACGTGAATAGAATATATAAAGTATTTTAAAATTAGAAAAAAAAGTATTTGAATGTCTCATTTGCTATTTCAACACTTACAACAAAAAGATTTAAGGCACCCCCTTCTTCACCACCCCTGCTCCACTGTAGCTTGCCATGTTCATAGGTAATCTTTGTCAATTAATATTGTCCCTTTTCATTGTTGTTCAAACATAAACTTCTTTCATCATGTTCATTAGCTTGATTATAAACACAAAAAGAATTTTACGCTTTTATTTTTTTTTACTATTTAAGAAATGTTCTTTTACCATGTTTACTTAAAAATATAATTGTTATTTTATAGCTTTTAATTTGACAACTGATTTTGAAACATGTTTAATCCAGTTAATAGAAGACAAGAAACAATGAAAATGTAAAATGTCTAGATATACACACTATTATTTTTTGACATTATTACTGACAAGTTAGAGATGTATATGTACCAGCATGACCATATTGGAAGGAAAATACAGAAATAAATAAAACCTCTAATAATGAAAAGATAGATGGATCTTCTTTTATCTCCCCTAACCAGATAACAAGCAATTTAGAAATGTTAATATACCAACAAGACCTGAATGGACAAGAGAAATCAGAGGCAGATGAAGTGTTTTATAGTGGAAATTTAAAGGGATCAATAAGTATCACTTCTGGCAAGGTCGCAGACCGGTTAGAGTCGTACCACAGTAGACAAGGAAGTACAGAAACAATAATCTCCCTTGAACAGAATTCTCATAAAGGTAATTCAGGAAGTTTACAGAATCACATGATAACAAATTCTAGGGGAAAACCTTATGAATGTGGTGTATGTGGTAAAGGGTATAAATATAGTAAGGACTTGTATGGACACATGAGAAAACATACTGGTGATAAACCTTATCCATGTGAAGTGTGTGGTAAAGGGTTTCGTATGAATAGAGACTTAAAGAGACACAGGGTCATACACACTGGTGAAAAACCATATAAATGTAATGTATGTGGTAAAGGGTTTAGTGATAAAGGAAATGTACATCAACATAGGAGAACGGTACATGTTGGGGATAAATCGTATAGATGTGATATGTGTGGTCAAGGGTATAGTAAGAATTCTAACTTACAGAGGCATATAAGAACACATACTGGTGAAAAACCCCACAAATGTGATGTTTGTGGTACAAGTTTTAGGGAGAGTCAGTGCTTACAGAGACACATGAGGATACATACTGGTGATAAACCATATAAATGTGATGTATGTGGTAAAGGGTTTAGTGATATAGGAAACGTACATCAACATAGGAGAACGGTACATGTTAGGGATAAACCATATAAATGTGATATGTGTGGTCAAGAGTTTTGTAAGAATTTTAACTTACAGAGGCACATACGAACACATACTGGTGAAAAACCTCACACATGTGATGTTTGTGGTACAGGTTTTAGTCAGAGCCAGGGCTTACAAAGACACATGAAGATACACACTGGGGATAAACCCTATACATGTGATGTATGTGGTAAAGGATTCAGTCTAGGTAGTGAGTTACAAAGACACAAGAGAACGCACTCAGGTGATACATTTATGAACAAATGAATACAATGTCTGCAGAAAACAGTTGTCTACATTATATCAAATAGACTACAAAATCAGAACACAATCTGATGACTTAACCTAATAACTTCGATGGTTGTTGTTAAGGGTTTTGTGTACCTAACAAGCACATGCGAACACACTCTGTTTATGCTGATGATAAACGATATAATATGATGAATGTTTTTTGGAAGTTCACTGATTTTTCGGCAGTTTGCATGAACAACTGGTGGCAATTATCCTTATAATTGTGGTAAAGGAGTTTCTCCAGGTGACATGACAATAAAATATCTTCTTTCACTTTCGAAAAGTTTTGACATGTCTACCTGACCTGGAATATATGATAATGAAAAAATTAAGAACTTAATTATTGGTTATATTGCATGTTATTTTTAATAGCCACCATAATTTTACGCAAACCTTTACATATAATTGCAGACCTGAAATACATTGTTATATATTTGAAATTCATGAAATTCATGTTATTATCAATTAAATCATAAAATAAATTAAGAATAAAAATGTAGATCTATTCTAATATTAATTGTAGTGCTTTAAGACTTTTATATTTTGTACATGTATCTAAGTATTTGAATTATATGTGTATATATGGGAGTTTTTTCCAAACAAAACTTGTCATGTGAAAGTGTTATTTTCATCATGTAATAATCACATGAAATTGATTAAGGTTGAGTTTCAGATCAAGGTATATCTAGAAAAGTGTTATTTTCATTTTTTAAGTTGAATTTATCTATAATAGATAGGGAGAAAATTTAAGGGTTACATTATTCTAAAATGTGATGTTCATGAATTCAAACTTTTCAACCTATGTTTACTTGTAAACACAAAGTCATGTTACAGTCTCATGAATCTGTAATGCTGTCAGTATATATAATGATAGACAATATACATGATATGTAGATCTATGTAAATTAACATTATGAATTTCAAAACATGTTGGAAATGACAAAATGACCGCAGAAGTAAAATATTTAGGGAATTTTGGTATCAAATGAAAGCTGAAATTACTTATATGAAATCGGAGGATATTACCAGTTGCACATATCAGAATTACATGTTTTTGTACTACCAATCTTCCTGGTACCAATGCGCTCTAATATGCAATTAAAATATGTATGTAAATATTTCCAGCAATAGTCAGGATAATGTATAGTTTTAGAAATGAAAGGACTGTCACTTTATTTGAACTTAAGGCAAAATAGCTATATATGCTTGTAATTGCAGAATTCAACATAGAACTACGATTTATTGGTTTTGTTCCTGAATAGGTTTTTTTTAACTTGAATGTTGACTGAAATTTGAAGAAAAAATTTAACGATTATATTAACAAGGTTAGTTTTATAAAAGAGGGACGAAAGATACCAGAGGGACAGTCAAACTCATAGATCGAAAACAAACTGACAACGTCATGGCCAAAAATAAAAAGACAAACAGACAAATAATAGTACAGATGACACAACATAGAAAACTAAAGACTAAGCAACACGAACCCCACCAAAAACTGGGGGTGATCTCAGGTGCTCCGGAAGGGTAAGCAGATCCTGCTCCACATGTGGCACCCGTCGTGTTGCTTATGTTATTACAAACCCGGTAAATAGTCTTATTCGATAGGTCACATTCGTGAAAAGGGAAGGGAATTGTAGTTACGACATAAGGAACATATCCGATATCATCTGTGAAACGGTTATTCCATAACGGTCAACCAACTTGTGATGGCGTCCGTAAAATTTACGAAGGGATGATTTCAACTTCACCATTTGGAACTCTTGGTTTAATAGCTTCCTTGTGAGCAGCAATCCTTTACCAAGGAAATCATGATAGGGAATACAAGCCCAGGAATATCGTATCAATTGGGAGATATATACTCCGTATGCAGGCGCTGCTGGAATGTTGCTACATAGAAATGGAAAGTTCACAATTGGGAAGCTGAAATCATCTCTTTTGTCGTAAAGTTTTGTTTTCAACCGACCCTCATTGTCAATTTCTAGATATAAGTCAAGATATGAGACAGACTTAACTGTATCTGTAGTATCCTTTATCTCTAGTTCGATGGGATAGATTCGTTCAACATAGTCACCAAATTTTGTGTTATTTAGTGAGAGAACATAAATAAATGTTTTATGACAAAGAAATTATCATTTAACATGCTTAATAAAACCATTTATAATCAAGTTTAGAGCTAAGTGGTTTAAATAGTCTTATGCCAGTTAGCTAGACAAACAGGAATCAATACTGAAATCAAGGACTTTCCTTATAGGTATAATCTTCACAGTGGAAAAAAAAAATAAAAAAAAATAATATTGAAATAAATGAAAATTTTATCTTTCACTGAAAGAAGGTTTGGTTTATTTTGATGGATATTTACAAATCATGAAATTATTCAAATTTAAAGTTCCAGTTGTATTTATATGCCCCATCTAGGGCTTTATGTTTTTCGGTCTGTGCGTTCGTTCGTTCGTCCGTCCGTTCGTTCGTCCGTTCATCCGTCTGTCCCGCTTCAGGTTAAAGTTTTTGGTCAAGGTAGTTTTTGATGAAGTTGAAGTCCAATCAAATTGACCATTTTGACACTTAGTACACATGTTCCCTATGATATGATCTTTCTAATTTTAATGCCAAATTAGAGTTTTGACCCCAATTTTACGGTCCACTAAACATAGAAAATGATAGTGCGAGAGGGGCATCCGTGTACTATGTACACAAAAAGTCATGCAAACTTACAGATCTCGGCATCACAGGCACACCGGCGAAGGATAATCAAGTGTACTTCATTCAAAATTTGCTATAATTATAATCAAATGCTTGCTAACTTACTCAAAACTCCTAACTAAATAATTGATAGCTTTAAATTCATTTGATTTGGAGTCAAAATTTGAAATCACAATATTTGTTTTAAACTAGTCCTGTCAAATTGAAATTATCTCTGAACAAGGTTTCAATCAGAGTTGTAATTTAACTTTTACTATATTTAGAAATATTTAACTTGTAATCTTTATTTTTGCGGAAATTTCTATTGTCTGTCACATGTATACACACCAAAATAACTAGTCATCAAGTACATCAGTAGTGGGGTAGTAAGGATTAAAGCGACTGTTTGTTAATGTTAAACCTTTGAGAGAAAATAGCCAAGAGGATACCCAATGACGTCATCATTATGTATTATGATGTCGTTTTTGTTGACAAAAAGCAAACACCTTCTGTCCCTAGTCCCTCAATAGTCATAAAACAACTTCTTCTTTTTGGTTAAGTCTATGTTTTCAATTGTAATTATATCTGCACCTTGCATAATAATCTTAAAAGCATCAACTTACTAATTTTGATTAAATCAATTAATTCTTGGAGGATAGCCTGGTCATAAAGCATAAGGTTACTAATTACGACAAAAACACAAAAAGCAAAGGAACAGCGCTTTTATTGATATTCTTCATCTCAAAGTTACAGTGGGGCCTTCAACACGGATCTAAAACTCTACCTTCATACAAGTTAAAGACGGCCCCTAGCACCGGTTTGAGCGGAATTCTCTGCAAACTGACGATCACGCCATACATGTAACTGTGTAGTTTATTTATGCAAATATGATCACGGAGTTATCTAGTATGAATTATTGATCACCATTCCAGTGCAGAAGCCAACTTCGAGAGCATTAAATTGAAATGTGATCCCCTCTTTTTGTATGCAATAACGTTCAAGTCACTTTCACTGAAGTACCCCGTTTACAAGATTAGGCAGTTCTGCTTGTAACAATTGTGTAGAGTTGTGAGCATCTAGATCTGGGACCACCGCCCTAGTCTTCCACAATGGAGTTGATCTTACGGTGCCGGTGACTGAAACGTCTCAGGAAAGCTCTGGTTGACCTCCATATGAGAAATATAACCCCCTATATGTCTCATATAGTCGAGGATGCGCACGCCGTCGATCCCAGAGCCGATGCAAATAATTACCAACATAACACTAATTATGATTCTTATAATTTAGAAACATTCTAACACTGTAAATTTTTCATGTCACTCTTATTGTTGAAATTCTACGTTCCATACATTTAAATCGTTTATAATGTTGATGTATAATCTGGCGTAACTTCACCTTAAGACTGGTGAATCCCTACTACTACTAGGGGGTGTTTAACGTCCTTTAGTACCTTTAATTTTCGTCGCTTTTATGTGTTAATAAAATGTGGAAAATACCTAATTTACGTAATCTGATTGGTTAATTCAAATCTGGCAATTTTAAATGGATGTGAAGTTAGCAGCCGGTTCGTTATTCGATATTCAATATCCAACCGGCTGCAAGCAGTCGGTTCGATATTCAAATTTAGTTGAAAATCATAAAAAATATAATATTTGATAACATTAAAAGCATGATTTTTATAGTTGAAAGGAGTGAAAAGATACGTAGGAAATCGTTTTATGGCCCCTTCAAGTTGTCTTAAACTCTCGTTGTCAAATATAAACCCTTATCAATGCTTATGTAATTTGCATATTTGTCTTTATGTAATATAGATTTTCATCAATAAAACGACATCAAAACTGTAATTTTATATCTAATATTTCTTAAAACAAAAACAAAAACCAATCACTCTAGAAAAAATTTAGAAATATAAATAGAAATATATATGGAAAGCCCAAAAAAAGAAATACATAGTGAAAACCTACCCGAGACCGCTTAAATGACGGTAAGACCCCCCTGTTCTTTCAATGTCAATAAAATTCATAGACTCTGTATAAATAAAGATTGTATCAAAAGGATTTCCCAGAATAATGTCATCTTCGATATCTACGGAGGGCTTAGATTGTCACTTTTCAGCTAAAAATTGTCAAAATGTCAGGACAAAGGGCACAGGGCACAGGGCAATGGTGAGATCCACCTGATCTCTCAATCTGCCTAATATTAAGCAGTCAGTTAGTTAATAGGTAGATACACACGTGACTAAAAGGAATTTGGGTACACTTCTTTTATGTTTACGGGGGGCCCAAAGTGCCAGTTGGATATTCAAAATATATAGCGAAAACCTACCTTAGACCGCTTAAATGACGGTGAGACCCCCCTGTTCTTTCAATGTCCATAAGATTCGACGAATTCATAGACTCTGTATAAATAAAGATTGTATCAAAAGGATTTCCAAGAATAATGTCATCTTCGATATCTACGGAGGGAATAGATTGTCACTTTTCAGCTAAAAATTGTCAAAATGTCAGGACAAAGGGCACAGGGCAATGGTGAGAGCCACCTGATCTCTCAATCTGCCTAATATCAAGCAGACAGTAAGTTAATAGGTAGATACAAACCTGACTAAAAGGAATTTGGGCGCTCCGTAAACATAGAAGACAGGAAGTGTACCCAAATTCCTTTTAGTCACGTTTGTATCTACCTATCAACTAAATGTCTGCATAATATTAGGCAGGTTGAGAGATCAGGGTGC